CTCTCGCCGGGTGTCCGTGCTCTGCGTGCTGACCGTGCTGCTAGGATCAGCCACGGCTGACATGAGGCCACTCCACGTTAGGGTGGCGTTGGAGCGCGTCATGGACGGTCCGGGGATGGAGGTGAGCTGTGTGTCTGTGTGTGTGTGTGTCTGTGTGTGTGTGTCTCTGTGTGTGTGTGTGTGTCTGTGTCTGTGTGTGTCTGTGTGTGTCTGTGTGTGTGTCTGTGTGTGTCTGTGTGTGTGTCTGTGTGTGTGTGTCTGTGTGTGTGTTTCTGTGTGTGTGTGTCTGTGTGTGTCTGTGTGTGTGTTTGTGTGTGTCTGTGTGTGTCTGTGTGTGTGTCTGTGTCTGTGTGTGTGTCTGTGTGTGTGTCTGTGTGTGTGTCTGTGTGTGTGTCTGTGTGTGTGTCTGTGTGTGTGTGTCTGTGTGTCTGTGTGTGTGTGTCTGTGTGTGTGTGTCTGTCTGTGTGTGTGTCTGTCTGTGTGTGTGTCTGTGTGTGTGTCTGTGTTTGTGTCTGTCTGTGTGTGTGTGTCTGTGTGTGTGTCTATGTGTGTGTCTGTGTGTGTGTCTGTGTGTGTGTCTGTGTCTGTGTGTGTGTGTGTCTGTGTGTGTGTGTCTGTGTGTGTGTATCTGTGTGTGTCTGTGTGTGTGTGTCTGTGTGTGTGTGTATGTGTGTATGTGTGTGTGTGTCTGTGTGTGTGTCTGTGTGTGTGTGTCTGTGTGTCTGTGTGTCTGTGTGTCTGTGTGTGTGTGTCTGTCTGTGTGTGTGTCTGTCTGTGTGTGTGTCTGTGTGTGTGTCTGTGTTTGTGTGTGTCTGTGTGTGTGTCTATGTGTGTGTCTGTGTGTGTGTCTGTGTGTGTGTCTGTGTCTGTGTGTGTGTGTGTCTGTGTGTGTGTGTCTGTGTGTGTGTATCTGTGTGTGTCTGTGTGTGTGTGTCTGTGTATGTGTGTATGTGTGTGTGTGTCTGTGTGTGTGTCTGTGTGTGTGTGTCTGTGTGTCTGTGTGTGTCTGTGTGTGTGTGTCTGTGTGTGTGTGTGTCTGTGTGTGTGTCTGTGTGTGTGTCTGTGTGTGTGTCTGTGTGTCTGTGTGTGTGTGTCTGTGTGTCTGTGTGTGTGTCTGTGTGTGTGTCTGTGTGTGTGTGTCTGTGTGTGTGTGTCTTTATGTGTCTGTGTGTGTGTGTCTGTGTGTGTGTCTGTGTGTGTCTGTGTGTGTGTCTGTGTGTGTGTGTCTGTGTGTGTGTCTGTGTGTGTGTGTGTCTGTGTGTGTGCCTGTGGGTCTATCTGAGTGTGTGTGTGTTTGGCTGTGTGTCTGTGGGTCGATGCGATTGTGTGGCTGTGGGTGAGTGAGTGAGTATTTAAGTGGGTGAGTGAATGAGTGGCTGTGTGAGTGACTAAGTGAGAGGTGAATGAGTGAGTGACTGAGTGAGTGAGTGGTGAGTGAAAGAGTGGGTGGGTGAGTGGGTGGGTGGGTGAGTGTTGAGTGACTGAGTGAGAGGTGAGTGACTAGGTGAGTGGGTGAGTGTGTGTGTCTATGTAGCTGTGTGTCTGTGTTTGTGATTTGTCTGAACCAGTCCTGAGCCACCCTTAGGTTTACTCAGCCTCAAACGAGTAGCTGGTGTAGCGGTGGTGGTGGTAGTGGCGGTAGTGGTGGTGTTGTGAACATCGTTAGCACTGGGGGAGAGACAAAGGCGGCCGGGCGTGGGGGTGCTGGTGGCCAACCCCTCTGTGTGTGCCACAGTGCTGGTAGCCTTCATAGGCGCTGCTACTCGCTACTGACAGCACTTGCCCCTACAGCCTGCTAGAGGCTACCTGGTGGACCTTTGTCTGTGTGTAGGTGCTACTGACAGCACTTGCCCCTACAGCCTGCTAGAGGCTACACGGGGCAGCTTTGTCTGTGTGTAGGTGCTACTGACAACACTTGCCCCTACAGCCTGCTAGAGGCTACACGGGGGATCTTTGTCTGTGTGTAGGTGCTACTCACAGCACTTGCCCCTACAGCATGCTAGAGGCTACACGGGGGATCTTTGTCTGTGTGTAGGTGATACTGACAACACTTGCCCCTACAGCATGCTAGAGGCTATCTGGGGGACCTTTGTCTGTGTGTAGGTGCTACTCACAGCACTTGCCCCTACAGCCTGCTAGAGGCTATACGGGGAGCTTTGTCTGTGTGTAGGTGCTACTGACAGCACTTGCCCCTACAGCCTGCTAGAGGCTACCTGGGGGACCTTTGTCTGTGTGTAGGTGCTACTGACAGCACTTGCCCCTACAGCATTCTAGAGGCTACCTGGGGGACCTTTGTCTGTGTGTAGGTGCCACTCACAGCACTTGCCCCTACAGCATGCCAGAGGCTACCTGGGGGACCTTTGTCTGTGTCTCCCTGCAGAACCTGGACCAGGAACAGAAGCTGCTCCTGGTTCGACTCCTGGCCGCTGTCAGTTCGTCTGCTGATGAGCAGCAAAGCGACCTGGAGGCCGAAGCAAACGAACTGAACCACAGTGAGGTGAGGATTCACTCACCACTCACTCAGCCACTCACTCACTCACCCAATCACTCACACACTCACCCAGCCATTCACTCACCACTCACTCACTCACTCACCCAGCCACTCACTCACTCACCCAGTCAGCCACTCACTCAGCCACTCATACTCTCACTCACCCACTCAGCCGCTCACTCAGCCACTCACTCACCCACTCACTCACTCAGCCACCCACCCACACACTCACCGACACACTCACTCACTCACCCACTCACTCACTCAGCCACTCACTCACCCACACACTCACTCACCTACTCACTCACCCACTCACACACTCACCCACTCACTCACTCACTCACCCACTCACTTACCCACTCACTCATCCACTCACTCACCCACACACTCACTCAGCCACTCACCCACTCACTCACTCACTCACCCACTCACTCACTCAGCCACTCACCCACTCACCCACACACTCACTCACTCACCCACTCACTTATCCACTCACTCACCCACTCAGCCACTCACCCACTCACCCACACACTCACTCACTCACCCACTCACTCACCCACTCACTTATCCACTCACTCACCCACTCAGCCACTCACTCACCCACTCACTCACTCAGACACACACTCAGCCACTCACCCACTCACTCACTCACCCACTCACTTACCCACTCACTCACTCAACCACTCACTCAGCCACTCACTCACTACCCCACTCACCCACACACTCACTCACCTACTCACTCACCCACTCACACACTCACCCACTCACTCACTCACCCACTCACTTACCCACTCACTCACCCACTCAGCCACTCACTCACTCAGCCACTCACCCACACACTCACTCAGCCACTCACCCACTCACTCACTCACTCACCCACTCACTCACTCAGCCACTCACCCACTCACCCACACACTCACTCACTCACCCACTCACTTATCCACTCACTCACCCACTCAGCCACTCACTCACTTACCCACTCACTCACTCAGACACACACTCAGCCACTCACCCACTCACTCACTCATCCACTCACTTACCCACTCACTCACTCAACCACTCACTCAGCCACTCACTCACCCACACACTCACTCACTAACCCACTCACCCACACACTCACTCACCTACTCACTCACCCACTCACACACTCACCCACTCACTCACTCACCCACTCACTTACCCACTCACTCACCCACTCAGCCACTCACTCACCCACACACTCACACACTCACTCACCCACTCACTCACGCACTCACTCACTCACTCAGCCACTCACTCACTCAGCCACTCACCCACACACTCACTCAGCCACTCACCCACTCACTCACTCACCCACTCACTCACTCAGCAACTCACCCACTCACCCACACACTCACTCACCCACTCACTCACCCACTCAGCCACTCACCCACTCACCCACACACTCACTCACTCACCCACTCACTTATCCACTCACTCACCCACTCAGCCACTCACTCACCCACTCACTCACTCAGACACACACTCAGCCACTCACCCACTCACTCACTCACCCACTCACTTACCCACTCACTCACTCAACCACTCACTCAGCCACTCACTCACCCACACACTCACTCACTAACCCACTCACCCACACACTCACTCACTCACTCACTCACCCACTCACTCACTCAGCCACTCACTCACTCACTCACCCACTCACTCACCCACCCACTCACCCACCCACTCACCCACCCACTCACCCACCCACCCACCCACTTACCCACCCACCCACCCACTCACCCACCCACTCACCTACCCACCCACTCACTCACCCACCCACCCACTCACTCACCCACCCACTCACTCACTCACCCACCCACCCCCCCACCCACTCACCCACCCACCCACCCACTCACCCACCCACCCACCCACTCACCCACCCACTCACTCACTCACCCACTCACTCACCCACCCACTCACCCAAACACTCACTCACCCACTCACCCAAACACTCACTCACTCATTCAGCCACTCACTCACCCACTCACCCACTCAGCCACTCACTCACTCACCCACTCACCCACCCACCCACTCACCCACCCACCCCCACCCCGTGCGCTAACCGCTGCACCACCGCTCCCCCCGTACAGGCGGACAGCCTGCACGGGTTGCTGGTGTCGCGAGCCCTGAGGGCAGCAGCGGTCGCTGGGAGCCCCCAGCAGCTGCTGCCCCTGGGGCAGAGAGAGCGCAAAGCGGGGTGCAAGAACTTCTTCTGGAAGACTTTCTCCTCTTGCTGAGACACTCTCACAGAGAGACACTCACACACAGAGACACTCACATAGACACACATACACACACACAGACACACACACACACAGACACACAGACACAGAGACACACACACACAGACACACACATACACACACACAGTCACATAGACACACACAGAGACACACACAGAGACACACACAGAGACACACACAGAGACACACAGTCACAGAGACACACACACACACAGACACATACACAGTCACATAGACACACACACAGAGACACTCACACAGAGACACACACAGAGAGACACACAGACACAGAGACACACACACACAGACACACACATAGACACACACAGAGACACTCACAGAGACACACACACAGAGACACACACATAGACACTCACATAGACACACACACATAGACACACAGTCACATAGACACACACTCACAGAGACACACACACAGAGACACACACACAGAGACACACAGTCACATAGACACACACAGTCACATTGACACACACACAGACACACACAGAGACACACACACAGAGACACACACACATAGACACACAGTCACATAGACACACACAAAGACACACAGTCACATAGACACACACACAGACACACACAGAGACACACACACATAGACACACACACAGAGACACACACACAGAGACACACACACATACACACACAGACACACATACACACACACAGACACACTCACAGAGACACACACAGAGACACACACACAGAGACACACACACACATACACACATACAGTTACATAGACACACATACACACACAGAGACACACACAGAGACACTCACATAGACACACACACACACACTCACACACAGACACACACACAGAGACACACACAGAGACACACACACAGAGACACACACACATACACACATACAGTTACATAGACACACATACACACACAGAGACACACACAGAGACACTCACATAGACACACACACACTCACACAGACACACACACAGAGACACACACACACATAGACACACACAGACACAAACACAGAGACACACACAGAGACACACACACAGAGACACACAGTGACATAGACACACACACAGAGACACTCACATAGAGACACACACACAGAGACACACACACAGACACACACATAGACACACAGTCACATAGACACACAGTCACATAGACACACACTCACAGAGACACACACACAGAGACACACACACAGAGACACACACATAGACACACAGTCACATAGACACACACACAGACACACACAGAGACACACACACAGAGACACACACATAGACACACAGTCACATAGACACACACACAGAGACACTCACACAGAGACACTCACAGAGACACACACACAGAGACACACACATAGACACACAGTCACATAGACACACACAGAGACACACACATACACACATACACACAGACACACTCACAGAGACACACAGAGACACACACACATAGACACACATACACACACTCACAAAGACACTCACACATACACAGAGAGACAGACACACACACAGAGACACACACAGAGACACTCACAGAGACACACACACAGAGACACTCACAGAGACACACACAGAGACACACACACAGACACACAGTCACATAGACACACACACAGACACACACAGAGACACACACAGAGACACACACACAGAGACACACAGTCACATAGACACACACACAGAGACACACACACACATAGACACACAGTCACATAGACACACATACACACACACACATACACACACACAGACACACACACATACACACACACAGACACACAGACACACACACAGAGACACACACAGAGACACACACACAGAGACACACACATAGACACACAGTCACATAGACACACACAGAGACACACACATACACACACATACACACAGACACACTCACAGAGACACACGGAGACACACACACATAGACACACAGTCACATAGACACACATACACACACTCACAGAGACACTCACACATACACAGACAGACACACACACACAGAGACACACACACAGAGACACACACACACACACAGACACACACACATACACACATACACAGACACACACACAGAGACACACATACACACACACACATACACACAGACACACTCACAGAGACACACAGAGACACACACACATAGACACACACATACACACAGACACACTCACAGAGACACACAGAGACACACACACATAGACACACAGTCACATAGACACACATATACACACTCACAGAGACACTCAAACATACACAGACAGACACACACACACACAGACACAGTCACACACGTAGACACACTCACAGAGACACACATACACACACACATACACACACAGACACACACAGAGACACACACACTCACACACACAGACACACATACAGTCACATAGACACACACACACAGACACACACACAGACATACACACCACACATAGACACACACAGACACACACACAGAGACAAACACTCACAGACACACACACAGACACACAGTCACACACAGACACACACAATCACACACACAGACACACAGACAGGCACATACAGACACACACAGACACACACAGACACACACACAGAGAAACACTCACACACAGACACACACATACATAGACACACTCACAGACACACAGACACACACAGACACATAGAGACATAGACACACACACATAGACACATAGACACACACAGACATACAGTCACACACACAGAGACACACTCACAGAGACACACACACAGAGACACACACACAGTCACACACACAGACACAGACATACAGTCACACACACAGACACACACACACATAGACACACTCACACACACATACACACATACAGTCACATAGACACACATACACACACACAGACACACAGACACAGAGACACACACACACAGACACACACAGACACACACACAGAGACACACTCACGGAGACACACACACAGAGACACACACATACAACAACAACCGCCATTTGCCACTAAGTGGCGGTGACGTCACCACGACGCTTGTGTCAGGCTATGTGCACCTTGAGGCCACGTGAAGTGTCGAACGCCCGCTGGCAGGAGGTCACGGGGCAGACCCAGGTGCCACGGGTCGACTGACTGAGATGACTGAGATGACTGGCTGATGCACCACCTGTGCCCCCTACTGTGCCAACCTGCTGTGCTTTAGCCACCCGGCGCTCCGCTCGTTGTTCTGAGCGTCGCTCCTCCGCCCTCCGTTGTTGTTGGAGGGCGACTGCCTCCACCTGCCCAGTAGCATCCTTCACGAGCCTCCTCCACAGAGGCCGATCTTGACACCGCTGGTACCAGTCATCGGCAAGTCCACTCAGCTCCACGTCCTCCTGTGCCGCGCCCGTTTAGCCCCCTCGATCCGGCCGAACAAAAGCTGTTTCGACATGCGCTGGCTGGGCATGCGGGCTACATGACCCAGCCAACGCAGCCTTGCCTGCCGGAAGAGCTCACCGATGGGACCTTGCCCAGATCTTTCAAGGATTTGTGAGCTCCTCACACAATCCAGCCTGGTTAAACCCAGGATGGATCGTAGGCAGGCCAGCCTAAATGTTTCTAACCGGCGAAGATGTTCCATTAGGAGGGTCCACGTTTCGCAAGCGTAGAGAAGGGAGGGAATGACCGTGGCCGAGAAGACCTGAAGCTTAGTGCGGAGCGACAGACCAGGTAGCTTCCACACAGCGTTACGCAACCGATGAAAAGATATTGCCGCTCGACTGATTCGGAGTGAGACCTCTGCTGTTAAACTGGAGCCAGTCATAAGCACACTGCCCAGGTATGGGAAACTCTCCACTCTCTCCACAACTGCCCCATCACCGATTGGGAGTTGTCGGGGTGGAGTGTCCGATGGTACAAAATACCCAGGCAGGTGCTTAGTTTTGGTGGGGCTGATGGTAAGGCCCCATCTCTTAGTGGCACGCTCCAGTCTCAGCAGCAGCGTCTCCAACTCCTCCTCTGACTGAGCAGCTATTACCAAATCATCGGCATACATAACGTGGTTGACCAATAGGGAGCCATCCCTTGACTGCACCCGGGCATCGATCAGCCTCCCATTATATCTGTACCAAATGGAGATTCCCCCGGTACAGCTATTGAAGGCTTCACGAACTACGTGGTCAAAATAGATGTTAAATAATGTGGGAGCCAGAGGACATCCCTGTCGCACCCCAAGGTGTACAGGGAATGGCTCCGACTCCCGGCCACGTAGTTTTACCCGGGCCCGCTCACCATCATGAAGGTCCTTAATGATCGTGAGCAGAGGGTCAGGGACTCCAAAAGCACGAAAAACGACCCAGAGCCCAAGCCTACTGATGGTATCATAGGCCTTGACCAGGTCAATAAAGCAGAGATGTAGGTCTTGTTGGAATTCCCTACACCTCTGCTGTAGCAGACGGACAGAAAATATGGCATCTGTGCAGGACCGCCCTTTCCTCAAACCGCATTGGGGCTCCGCAAGCCTCTCCTCAGCGTGCCTGGCAAGGCGATGTTGAATAATCCTTGCCAGGACCTTTCCCGGCACACTGAGGAGTGAGATGCCCCTGTAGTTGTTACAGTCTGTGCGGTCCCCCTTCTTAAAGAGGGGGACCACCAGGGCATCCTTCCAATCCTGCGGAACCCGTCCAGTGGTCCAGACTGTTGTTATGATGTCATTTAGGGCAGTCTGTGCACAAACTCCACTCTTCCTCAGCATTTTGCTTGGGAGATCATCTCTGCCCGCTGCCTTTCCTGGTCTCAGACTCCGGATCGCCTTCAGTACTTCCTCAACAGATGGCACCTCAGCCAGCCACTCACAGGGGGTGACTTCTTCCTCCAATATTTGAGGCACCGCAGCCTCAGCAGGGTCATCCCCACTTTGTGCCACGATGTTTTCTTGGCTGAGGGATTTTCCCTCCCCCAGGACCTCACAGAAATGCTCAGCAAATCTGCGAACCTGTTCCTGGGAGTCGGAGATTGGATCACCGTTCTTTCCCCTAATGATGGTAATAGGTGTGGCGCTGCAGGTTACTTTTTTGATGGAGTTAAATAGAGATTTGTG